TGTGATCTCTGTCTGTCAAATGAATAAATAAAATCTTAAAAAAAAATGAAAGTCCGCTGGGTTGGAAAGGTAAGCTATTGTATATTAAGTTAAAGTACATGCAATATTTGGGAAGTTTTTTTTTTTTTTTTAAGATTTTATTTGGCAGACAGAGATCACAAGTAGGCAGAGAGGCAGGCAGAGAGAGAGGGGCGGCCCCCTGAGCAGAGACCCCGATACTGGGCTCAATCCCAGGACACTGGGATCATGACCTGAGCTGAACGCAGAGGCTTTAACCCACTGAGCCACCCAGGCACCCCATTTGGGGAGTTCTTATACTAAAAAATTATTTGTTGTTTATCTGAAATTCAAATTTAACTGGAGGTCCTGGGTTTTGTTTTTCTTTCTTAATCTGACAACTCTAATATTAAAGTATTCTAATACATTCTATTACTATGAAAGAAAGAAAGAATATTGGTGGCTTCTTTCTGTTCATCCTTTTATTTTGATTTGGAAAGTGTGGAATGGCAGGATTTATTGACTATGAGCTATAGTAGTGAAGTGACAATGGATAGTCCTCAAATGCTAAAAATTATTTCCTATATATTTTACAAATTAGAGATTCATTTAGAATACCAGGTCTCTTTGAAAAGAAAGCCACATATTAAATTAGGTATTCCCTAATGTATATTACTTTAATCAGACTACATAAAAATCTAATTACAAAACTTTGTGAGTAGAGTGTATTGTTAAGTGAAATAAGTCAGAGAAAGGCAAATGAATAAAAAACAAAAAGCAGAATCAAATCTGTAAATACTGAGAACAAGCTGACGGCTGCCAGAGGGGAGAAGGATAGGAGATGGGCAAAATGGGGGTAGGGGAGTGGGAGTTACATGCTTCTGGTCCTGGAATGAGTAAGTCACAGGAACAAAGGGCACAACATAGGGAATATGGTCAATGATAGTGTAAGAGTGTTGTATGGTGCCAGATGGTAGACACCCTTGTGGTGAGCTCAGTGTAAGAGTTGTGTTGAATCACTATGCTATACAACTGAATTAATGTAACATTGTGTGTCAACTATACTCAAATATTTTTTTGATATGAAAACCAAGCAATACTGTGCCTATAGTTCCTCTCAGTAAAAATTTCCTAGAACCACGTCCCATGCTTCCAGTAGGTGGGATATATGGTCTCCATATCTAAATATTATATAAATACATATATATTTTTTGCATATCTCATTTTGCACATCTTTTAATGTTTGACTTATTCCTGAGTTCTCACATGTTTCTACATTCAAACTGTTGCAGTATCATGTGTTACTTAGCTTCTAGAAAATTATACATTTGGAACACCTGGGTGGCTCAGTCGGTTAAGCATCCAACTTCTGCTCAGGTTATGATCCTCAGGGTCCTGGAGATGAGCCTAGGATCAGGCTCCTTGCTCAGCAGGGAGCCTGCTTCTCCCCTCCTGCTGTCCCCCTGCTTCTGCTCTCTCTCTCTCTTTCTCTCTGTCAAATAAATAAACAAAATCTTCAGGAAAAAAATATTATACATTCATGAGAGAATGAGAATGGAAAAAGGTACATTTATTATTAAAATATTTTTTTTTCGGTATAGACCCCTGCAAGGATCTCAGGGACTTCTCAGGCATTCCCCGACCACACTTTGATGACCTCTGTTCTAGATAATATATTTAGCTATAGAAATTAAAGACTCAATAGAAACTCTAGAAAAAAAGATTCTTTAAAGAAACACCCTTCATCTAAAAGATTAGTAATTCTACTGTGTCATCACATCTAGTTTGTGTTCATATTTCTCTTTTTGTCTCATAATTTTCTTATAGTTTGTTGATATCGAGTCAAACAAGGTTCACATATTATATTTAGTTGATATGCCTTTCAAATTTTAATCTATTGGTTCCTCTTCCTCTTTTTTCTTTGAAGTTTATTAGGTGAAGAAACTGGGTCATTTGTTCTTGTATAGTTTCCGTCATTCTGGTCTTGGCTGAGTGCATCTCTGTGGTATAGTTTAACATGTTTCTCAATCTCTATTTCCTGTAATTTGTAGTTAGATCTCTAGAGCTTTGATTAGATTTGGCGTTCTTTTTTGGCTAGACTTCTTAAGTGCCGATGTGTACTTTCTTCCACGAAGGAGGATGTCCTTTGTGATGTTAGAATCACTCTGTTCTGACTTGCATTTCCGGGGTCTGTTTAGGTTTTGTCAGCCTAATTCATACATTATATTAGATCTTCTCTAATGATTTTAAGATCTATTGCTAATTGTTGCCCTAATCTATCAGTTGGTATTAGAAAAGGTGATAGATATTCTAATAATCAAGGCTGCTGGCTGAGATTCTTCAGTCGAAGGAGATCCTTTCCTCATCTATTCCATTAATTTGAAATACCATTTGCATACAAAGGACCAGAATAAAATTTTGGATAATTTTTTCTCTATATCTAGAAATTTCCAGAATAATTAATTGGTTACCTAGAAACCTCCAAAGATGATTCAAGAGTTTGGTTTTTTCGTTTTCTGGTTTTCTTTAGTATTATGAATTTATAATTTTTTGCCTTCTATTCACCATTCTTTTCAGATGTTCAAAGGGTCCTATCTTTTTTTTTCTTTTTTAAGATTTTATTTATTTATTTGACAGACAGAGATCGCAAGCAGGCAGAGAGGCAGGCGGAGAGAGAGGAAGGGAAGCAGGCTCCCTGCTGAGCAGAGAGCCCGATGCGGGGCTGGATCCCAGGACCCTGAGATCATGACCTGAGCCAAATGCAGGGGCTTTAACCCACTGAGCCACCCAGGCGCCCCAGGGACCTATCTTTTTGACAAGTGGAAGCCCTTTCATAACTGGCTCCCTTGTCTGTGGTACAACCTCAGCAGATTTTGATAGTTTACTTGTTTCCTGGAGCAAGATGTGTTAACCTCATCTTGTACATTTCTTTCTTCAGGCATGGAATCAGGTATGTGACACTAATTTTTTTCAGTGGGAAATGGTATTTAGAGATCATAATCTGGGTGACATTTATGTTTATTCCTAAAAGGTTGTCATTGTTTATAGACCTTTTGGTGTATGGAGCTAGGAAAACTGTTTTTTGGGTTTTTTTTTAAACTGTATTTTATAGAAAGGAAAATTATTCATGAGTTCCAGATGCTACTTCAGATTCATTTATAATATTACAAAGATTGGGGCACCTGAATGGCACAGCTGGTTTGGTGTCCTACTCTTGGTGTTGGCTCAGATCATGATCTCAAAGTCTTGAGTTTGGGCCCCATGTCAGGCTCTATGCTCAGCATGGAGTCTACTCGAGGATTCTCTCTTCCTCTGCCCCTTTTGCTCATGCTCTCCATCTCACGCTTGGGGGAAAAAAAAAGATTACGGAGATTTTACTTCATTTTTTTATTCTACATTTTCTTAAACTGAAAATATTGGTTCCAACAATATGATTATGAGATCACAAGATTTTAGGGAGGACTTGTTCTGTTTTATTAGAAAATTGGGGCCTAAAATGCCTAGCGGGGTCAGGTAGCTGAACAAATGAGTCAGGCCTGTTGTGAGAATCAACAGGGGCTGATGATGAACTGGAGAGCGTATGTTCCACCTAATGGAAGCATGTGTGATTTGGTTTTAGGTAATTTTTATTGAGAGGAACTATAGGCACAGTATTGCTTGGTTCTCACATTTAAAAAAATTTTTTTTCATTTGAGTGTAGTTGACACACAATGTTACACTAATTTCAGTTGTATAGCATAGAGATTCAACACAATTCTGTCTTACACTGAGCTCACCACAAGTGTATCTACCATCTGGCACCATACAACACTCTTAGAATATCATTGACCATATTCCCTATGCTGTGCCCTTTGTTCCTGTGACTTACTTATTCCAGAACCAGAAGTATCTATCTCCCACTCCCCCTACCCCCATTTTGCTCATCTCCTATCCTTCTCCCCTCTGACAGCCATCAGCTTATTCTCTGTATTTATAGATTTGATTCTGCTTTTTGTTTACCTTTTTATTCATTTGTTTTTTTCAGATTCTACATATGAGTGAAATCATATATTTGCCTTTTACTGACTTATTTCACTTAACATAATACCCTCTAGATCCATTTATGTTGTCACAAACAGCATAACCTCAGCCTTTTTTTGGCTGTATGTAATATTCCACTATATGTATTTTTATGATTTTTTAATATTTTTATATTTTATATATGATTTATATATATATCACATTTTCCTTATCCATTTCCTTATCCTTTCCTTATCCATTTCCTTACCCATGAGTGGATAAGGAAAATGTTGACACTAATGTTGTTTCCATATCTTGACTCTTTGTAAATAAGGCTGCAATAAAAAAGGGTGTGTGTATTTTTTTGAATTAGTGTTTTTGTTTTCTTTGGGTAAATACCCAGTAGTGGAATTACTGAATCATATGGTTATTCTATTTTTAATTTTTTGAGAGACCTCCCTACTGTTTTCTACAGTGGCTGTACCAATTTACATTCCCACCAGTAGTGTATGAGGATTCCTTTTCCTCCACATCCTTGCCAACACTTACTATCTTTTTTTATTTTAGCCATTCGGACAGGTACAAAGTCCTATCTCGTGGTTTTGATTAGCATTTCCTGCGCCTCTTCCTGCTGTGCTCTCTCTGTCAAATAAATAAATAAAATCTTAAAAGAAAAACAAAGAGTTAAATAAATATTAACAACTAATTCAAAATTTTAAAAGGGCTAAACAAGTATTTTCTGCCATAGGCTTTTAGTTTGTGACTTCTTGTGGAAAAGCTCTAAGGAACTGATGGTTAAGCTAGCCTTTCAGATTCTTCTAGACCTCAGGCAACCTGAGAACTGCAATGGGAAAGAGCAGGAGGAAGAGGACTTAATCATCTTGATTTTGCTAATTGTGATGCATTTATTTATCTAACTTCTCTTTTTAAACATTAAAAAAATTTTTAAATAGCTTTATTGAGCATTCATTCTGCTTTTTATTTCTTTTTCAAATTCAAAATAGGAACTGACGACATCTCAGGAAAGTGGTGGAAATGTTCTTCAGATGATGTATGAGAAACCTGAACGATGGTCTTTTACCTTCCAGTCATATGCCTGCCTCAGTCGAATACGAGCCCAGCTTGCCTGTCTTGACAGCAAGCTCAAAGATGCAGAGAAACCTGTATTATTTTTTGAGCGATCTATATATAGTGACAGGTATATATAAATGTCTTGCACTTGTCATTCTGGAATCGTGGCATGGAACTGGAGTTTTTTTTCTATTTCTGGTAATCAAAGGAGTAAGAGGCTCTGCTGAGGATTTGAGATGGAACATTTCCTTTAGCAGTTTGGTAATCATGGCATTAGGGAAGTTCTAGCATTAATAATTGCTAGCTTCCATGGAGACTTTGGGGACAATGGTAGCCATATCATTCAAATTTATGGAGAAGTTTTTTTTCTTCCAACCCTTTTAAAATTTTCATCTACCCTGGTTAAATCTGGATCTGTATTCAAGACTTGCTTCTTGAGCAAGATCAGAAAGCTCTAAGGGGGCCTTAGAGTTACCCCGCTTATGTAAGGATTTTTTAAGCTAGAGAGTTGGCACAAAACAAATATTCACAAACTTTGGTCACAGGATCCCTTTCCATTCTTTATAATTATTGAAGAGCCCAAAGAGCTTTGTGTCTTATTGATATTCATGTTAAAATTTAAGATTGATGAATATAAAGAACATTTACTAATTTATTTAAAATTAGTAATATAAACCCATTACATATTAGCATTAATAACATACTTATAAAAATTATATTTTTCAAAACAAAGAAATTAGTGAGAAGAGGCTTGTATTGTATTTTGCAAATCTCTGTAATGTCTAACTTAATGGGAGACAGCTGGATTCTCATTTATGCTTCTATATTCAATCTGTGTACCATGTTCTTTTGGTTGAAGTATTGTACATACAGTAATCTGGCCTCTCACGGAACACTTGGAAAGACCTTGGGGACTACCAGGGGTCACGACCCTACCTTTTTGAGAACTGATGGCCAAGAACACATTTCTTGTAGTTGGAGATACTCTATTAACTTTTTTTCTTTTTTTTTTTTTTAAAGATTTTATTTATTTATCTGACAGAGAGAGATCACAAGCAGGCAGAGGCAGACAGAGAGAGAGGAGGAAGCAGGCTCCCTGCTGAGCAGAGAGCCCGATGCGGGGCTCGATCCCAGGATCCTGAGATCATGACCCGAGCCGAAGGCAGCAGCTTAACCCACTGAGCCACCCAGGCGCCCTTAACTTTTTTTCTGCTAACTTATTATCTGCCATGGATTTTGGGAGAATGTTCCATGTCCATTTAATAGATTTATTTTCTCTTTTCTGTTTCTTTGTGTTTTGTGGAAAGGAATTATGTTTTGATGTAGACTCTCTTTCAGGTATGTCTTTGCATCTAATTTGTATGAATCTGACTGCATGAATGAAACAGAGTGGACAATTTATCAAGACTGGCATGACTGGATGAATCAACAGTTTGGCCAAAGCCTTGAACTAGATGGAATCATTTATCTTCGAGCCACTCCAGAGGTGAGACTCAGTAAAAATTTGCTTGCTGCGGCACCTGGGTGACTCAGTTAAACGTCTGTCTTTGGCTCAGGTCATGATTCCAGAATCCCAGGATTGAGCCCCATGTCAGGCTCCCTGATGCTCAGTGAAGAGTCTGCTTCTCCCTCTCCCTCTGCCCCTCCCCCTGCGTGCGCTCTCTCTCTCTCTCTCTCTCATTCACTCTTTCTCTCAAATAAATAAAATCTTCAAAAAAAGTGTTTTAAAAAAATTTGCTTGCTCCATTGACAATTTAAAGTAATATTTAGAAGTCCTTTTAGTGGTATGCAGTGAAGGCAATTTAGTTCAACTCCACTCCCTACTCTTTATTTCCCACATCCAAATTAGAAGCTGCGTAGATAGGAGGATTCTCTTTTCTCAGCAAAGAAGAAACCCAGATTTGGCAAGTTGCTCTTTTAGGCCCTACTCTGTGCTTCCTCAGTTTTATTCTTCATTATTTCTTCCTAACTTTGGCAAGGTCTCTTATCTATCACAGCTAGATTTAAAAATTTGCTCAATGGGGCACCTGGGTGGCTCAGTGGGTTAAGCCTCTGCCTTTGGCTCAGGTCATGATCTCGGAGTCTTGGGATCGAGCCCCACATCGGGCTCTCGGCTCAGCAGGGAGCCTGCTTCCCCCTCTCTCTCTGCCTTCTGCTCTGCCTACTTGTGATCTCTCTTTCTCTCTCCCTCTGTCAAATAAATAAATAAAAATCTTAAAAAAAAATTTTGCTCAAGCAACCCTTAGAATATAGGTTTCTTTTTCTTTTCTTTTCTTTTTTTTTTTTTTTTTTAGAAGATTTTATTTATTTTTTTTTGTGAGAAAAAGAGCACAAGTAGGCAGAGTGGCAGGCAGAGGCAGAGAGAGAAGCAGGCTCCCTGTTGAGGAAGGAGCCCGATGTAGGACTTGATCCCAGGACCCTGAGATCATGACCCGAGCTGAAGGCAGCCACTCAACCCACTGAGCCAACCACGCATCCCAGAATATAGGTTTCTTGATGTGAGACCAGATATTTTAGTTACTGTTGAATTTCCATTACCTAGAATAGGGCCTAGGTACATAGTAGGAGCTCAGCAAATACTTGTGAGTGAATTGCAAAGTTGATGGAAGTCCATTTCAAGAAATCTTTTATGTTTTCATGGCTTGGGCTGGATAGTAGCTTCAGTTAAGAAGAGATTTAGAGAACCCTTGCCATTTTCAGTTAAGGGAGCTTACTTGAAAATGTGACTTTCATTATAGATTATAACATCGCCATTCTTCTTCCTTTTTTTTTAAGATTCTGTTTATTTTGGTTTATTTGTGAATTGTGCTGTGAATTGTGTAAGACTGATGATTCACAGACCTGTACCCCCGAAACAAAAAATACATTATATGTTAAAAAAAAAAAGATTGTGTTTGTTTTTTATTTTATTTTTTACTTTTTTAGATTTTATTTATTTATTTGACAGAGATAGCAAGAGAGGGAACACAAGCATGGGGGAGCTGGATAGGAGAAGCAGGCTGGAGAGGGAAAAGCTGGCTGGAGAGGGAGAAGCAGGCTCCCACTGAGCAGGGAGCCCTGTGCTGGGCTCCGTCGCAGGACCCTGGGATCATGACCTGAGCCGAAGGCAGACGTCCAATGATTGAGCCACCTAGGCATCCCGAATATTGTATTTATTTATCTGAGAGAAAGAGAGAATGAGAGCACAAACAGGGAGTAGTGGGAGAAGCAGTTGCCCTCCTGAGCAGGGAGCCTAATTCGGGGCTCGATCCCAGGACCCGGGATCATGCCCTGAGCTGAAAGCAGATGCTTAACTGAGTGAGCCATCCAAGCGCCCCCATTCTTGTTTATATATGAAATTATGTAATGAATCCAGGAAGTGGATTCCTTCCATAAAGCTAACCTAAGAGCTTACTTATTAGCAGATTTCTGGTTTTCCTGCTTCCATTCCAGTTTTTATGTTTTTTATTCCCCTGTCTTCCCTAAACCACAGAGTAGGCTCTGATGAATATGAATGTCATGACTAGTAGCCAGAAAGAATACTGTGTTGCTACTGAAGCTGAATTTTCAAAGAAACTAGGTTTCCGATTCCAACTGATGATTTTGTTCTTCTTTTTAACATCAAGAAAGCCAGAATTTAATAATAATTTTGAAATTCACTTTTATTTTTTAAAATAATTTTTGTCTTTAATTATAAAAATAGTAAATGCAAATGTAGAACATAAAGAATATAATAATTTCATTTTGCTAGAAAATATAGTATCTTCAAGTCTGTAAACACAAAACTTTATTTCATCAAAATTATTTATAATATCTTTTGATTGTAGGATATTTAAGTATTTGAAAAGAGGATTTATAATAAATTTTGAAGCACAGTTTCTGTATTGAACTTCTTACCAAACTTACTTTATACAGTATTTTTTAAATAGGGATCCCATAAGTTTATAGATTTATTCTGAAAGTACTACTTGGTTTAGAACCACCAAATGGTTAGAACCACCAAATTTTTCCACAAGGAGGAAAAAAATGAACTATTTCAATTTTCTGGAAGGCATAAATGGAGATTTGTCTAGCATAACTAAAAAGACACTAGAGAAGAATAATTTAATGATCGCAGACAAGAATAATTGTTCCTTGCCCCCAACACCTTTCTTTCTGTTTGCTTTTAGAAATGCTTGAATAGAATATATTTACGGGGAAGAAATGAAGAACAAGGCATTCCTCTTGAATATTTAGAGAAGCTTCACTATAAGCATGAGAACTGGCTACTGCATAGAACACTGAAGTAAGACTTCCTTATACTTATTTACTATTTATTTTAAAGACTTTTATCAAATTTTAATCTAAAACGTGTACAGATTTTCATTTTCAGCCATTTTTATTTTAAACTAGTATTATAGGATCTCCCAGAATTAGGTGTGAGTTTTGGTTCTTTTTTATTTTAATGAGATCCTATTTTCTTAAAAAAAATTTTTTTTTAAGATTTTATTTATTTATTTGACAGAGATCACAAGTAGGCAGAGAGGCAGGCAGAGAGAGAGGAGGAAGCAGGCTCCCCGCTGAGCAGAGAGCCCGATGCGGGGCTCGATCCCAGGATCCCGGGATCATGACCTGAACCGAAGGCAGAGGCTTAACCCACTGAGCCACCCAGGCGCCCCTATTTTCTTAAAATTTTTGTAGTTGATCTCCTCCAGTGGTATTGACAGCCTAATATATGGAATTTAAATGGTAAAGTTGGAAATTTGAGTGCATTACTTAGGTACTCTTTTTCAGAGAGAATTTAAGATAAGATACTTCAAATTTAATTTTTAGATCAAGACTTTGGAGGTAGTATAGCACAGTTGTTAACAGCATAGACTTTGTTGTCATTATTAGTCAGATCTTGGGTCAAATCCCAATTTGTTAGTGTGTAACCTTAGGCATCCTTTGAACCTCAGAGTGACTTCCTTGAGCTTTAGTTTTCTCATCTTCTCAATGCAAACATTCCTTACTTTATGGGAGTTTTTGGTTTTTGAGAAGAATTACATGTCACAATGCCTAGCTTTATTTTTTTATACTTGAGATTTTTAGTTACTATTAGTATTATTATATAGTAGTAAGTCTAGGGGAGAAAGAAGGGGTTTCCAGGTACTTGCTGGATAAATTTAATGTAAAATGACTGACAACATTTTGATTTTCCAGATATAATATAGGAGTGAATTTTTAGTGCTTGTCTTTTATTTATTGCTTTTTCTAATTATTTAGTTCATCTCTCTCTTTTTTAAAACAGAACCAACTTTGATTTTCTGCAAGAAATCCCTATCTTAACATTGGATATTAATGAAGACTTTAAAGACAAACATGATGGTCTGATTGAAAAGGTAGATTTATACAAAGACTATACACTAACATGTGATTTGTCTTGTCTAGAAGTATTATAACTTGTGAAAAATGATTTTCTAAGAGAAAAATATGCATGAAATTACAGTAAGAGACAGTTAAGAGCTTTAGAGGGATTTAGACCTCAAATTCTAATCCTAAGTTTAAATTCTAGCTTAGTGGCCTTACCTAGAATGAGGAGGTTCTTTCATCTATTAATCCCTTTATTTGTAATATAGGGATAATGACATTAACGAAAATTCTTGCTCACCCCCTTCTCCCTGCTTTGTTCCCTCTTCTTCCCTTCTTCCTCCATCACCAGTCTTTAGGTAGTTGAATAATAAACTACTTGTGAAATTAAATTCATCTTTTGCAACTAAATTCAGTATGGAAGATATTTGAAGTTGTAGGTTAAAGATTTCATCCATTTTTATATGCGCTAAAGTCTTGAGATTAAAGATTTTTAGTTTTGACTTTATGTGGGACCTTGTCAATGATGAATTGGCATTGCCTGATCATCAAGTCATTGTCTTAATCAGAGTTCAGCTATCCTCTACATGTTTGGGAGCTGATTATACTCTGTTAAAGAGTGACACCTGTACTGATAAAGGGACTGGGAGAAAATCTATTGATGTGCACTTGAGAGAGAATAGTAATGGGGATTGTATAATAAATATCCTACTATCCATATTAATTAACTTAGTGATGATCCAAGATCTAAACACAAAGCCATATTTTTTTGGTTTGTTTAGTATTAAGAGAAATTTAATTTTTTTCTCCTTCATAAAATGCCTGCTATTTACTATAACAGAAACCTGGCGTTCATAAAAATATCAAGAATTTTGAAAATCTCAACATTATTATTAACTACTCTGTAGCATATGATTGCTTTTCTAATGATAGAAAAAAGTAGAGCATATCTGGAAAATTCAGATGACCTCTTTATACCATAATGATGGTAAAAATACAGGATATAATTCATTTATAATACTATGAAAATAAATGAAATAAAATTAAATCAGCCATTGTAATTCTAACAGCCAACCAACATTTTAACTGAGTCAATCTGTAAAACCACTTTTTTATTTTATCTAACACTTCTGTGTTTTGACTAAGAATAGTCTTTAAATGTTATTGTTTACATTTACTTTCATTAATAATGCTAATAATTGGCTTTTTTTTTTCTTCTTGAAATACATAACTGACATACAATGTTATATATAGTTTCAGGTATACAGCATATTGATTTGACAAGTCTATATATTACCCAGTGCTTGCCACCATAAGTGTAGTCATCATCTGTCACCATATGACATTATTACAATAGTTATTTTTTAGGTATTTTTTTTTTTTTAGGTATTTCTTTAAGTATTTTTACAAGGCAATAATCTTTGTTTCTTCAGAATTACTGCATCATCTAGAATTTATGGAGAACAGAATCTTTTTGCATTGTGATGTCGGTAGTTGGTTAGGTCCATTCACAACTTACATGACCTTTCCTTGCATATTAACATTACAGATTTGCATACATGATTCAGATTTGTGCTTCAGAAAAATTACAAGTTTTAGGTGTCTGGACCTTTGAGAGTTGTTTAAACCATCACAATTACTAATATTTTTGGTGCTAAAGCTGCATGTCAGTGATCAATGTTATTATAAAGAGATTATGAAATTTGTGTTATGACTGTTAGAGAACTGTATCAATCTTAGATGTAAATTTAATAACTCCTGTAGTGACATTTTAGGTCATTTATCTTTTACTACTGAAGTATTAATATATCTTTTGAAAATAAATGCTATGGCTTTGTGTTGGAGTTACTTACATCGTTGGGGTCTTCAGCAGTTATTACTATTAAATAGAGATGAATACAAGACATTTCAAATTAGCCAAGGAATTACATTAATATTTATTTCCTCCCCTCAGGTCAAAGAATTTTTGAGCACTTTGTGATTTTGCTGAAGACTACAGGCAGCCAAATGATTCCAGATACTTCAGCTTTGAGTATCTTCGTAGCTCAGTCAGTATTCATACAAGTCTCTAGAAAACCCAGGTTTTTTACCATTTTTGTTTCAAGAAAAAAATTATTTTGATGAATTCTATGTCAAAGTTTATGAGCTGTTTCTTTTCTTTTTTGCCTTAAAAAAAATAAGACATCTAATTATCTCTCACAACAAAAGGTCTGGAGATAGATGGTTCCAGAGTAAGTACTGCCTAAACTACATCACAAAGGACCCAGCCTCCTCCTGTGTTTCCCCCTATTATTCTCCTCAGCAGGTTGGCTTCCTCCTCCCCTCACCAGTTTCTTAACTGGGAACTTTAAATGTTACAGAGTAAATGGTAATGTACCCTGTGTAAATTAATGTACCTATTACAAGCTGAAAAGTGGAATTTAAGGAACCCCTATAAAAGGATTATGAAGTTTTAAATACTTTTGATCAAGTGTCTCCCCTACCATCTTAATTTATGTGGAAGATAAGACCATTTTAGTATTTAATCACTTCAGTGATATTTATAAATGTGTCTATAATTCATGCATAAAGGAGCAGGTCAGACTTTGCTCCCGTTTTGTAATGGCATAAACTATCTTACAAGTATTTAATCTTTTTTTCTGCTTTTGTTTCCACATCTGTGGTATGGGTGAGACTACATCTTTTTCCATGGGATTTTAGAGGATTAAAGCAGAAATGATAACTCAAAATGTTTCTGTACTTAAAAGATAAATGAGAGGTGCCTGGATGGCTCAGTTGCTTAAGTGTCTGCCTTTGGCTCAGGTCATGATTCTAGGGTCCTGGGATCGAACCCCACGTCAGGCTCCCTGCTCAGTGGGAAGCCTGCTTCTCCCTCTCTTACTCTCCCTTGCTTGAGTTCCTTTTCTCACTGTCTCTCTCTCTGGCAGTTAAAAAGATTAATAAAATCTTTAAAAAAAACACCAACTTCTAAAAAAAAAAAAAAAGAAAACAGTATAAAAATTCAATTTATATGGAGCCTGAAATAGCTACCTACATTCTCTCAGACCATTCTTTTAGAATGGACTATTACTCTTATAGTTAAAAGATTGGTTTAAAATATGATTGTCTTTAACTCATTGGAGGTGAAGGTATAGTTTTCCCTAAATTTCTTCCCATTTTTATAGGCAAAAATTTAGTGGAACAGAGCAAGGGATAAGTTTTTCTATTTTATTTTTTGTTGACCCTGTGCTGGGAATGAGTAGTTTTCATTACCTTTATAGTTGGTGAGAATCAGAAGAGAAATTGAAGACAAGACAAGATGATCACCTTAGCAGTATAGTTTCTTTTATTCTAGCTCTACTTCCTGCCTAACCCTGCTTTCCTTACTGTCTGGATTAATTAGGCAGCCTGCTATTTTCTTCTTCTTCTTCTTTTTCTTCTTCTTCTTTTTTTTTTAGTAATCTCTATATCCATCGTGTGTCTCCAAGTCATGACCCCAAGATCAAGAGTTGCATGCTCTTCTGACTGAGCCAGACCGGCACCCTGGTAGCCTGCTATTTTAAAGTTTAAATGAAAGTCACACATTTCTACTTTGAGAACATCATGACCACTCGTCACTTCACAGTTTGCTTTGCTTCTCTGTAGGGTTCTACCCTAGGGTTTTTTCCTTCTCCTTTAAATGACTGATAAAAATCATCTTGTTTTATATGTTCTGTATCTTTAAAGCATTATCATTTTTGTTAAATATGTATTAGGAAATATATATTATAATAAAGAAGACAAGGAGATAGAATAGTTGTAATTTTTAAAAGCTGCATGGGTTCATTTTATTAGGTCTGTAGATAAAGTTTTTTTTTTTTTCTCAAGTTTGTTTAGGAAAGGTGTGCAGTGTTTTTTCTATGTATTTAATCCTTCTACTTGACATTTTGGAAAAATTCTGTGTTTGAAAGGAGGGGAAGAGTCACTTTAACTTTGAAACTCATTTTCCTTTTTAAAATGTCATTTTTTGTTTTGGTTTTTAGATAATCAAGGATGATAATTTTGTAGGTTAAACATTCCAGATGCACTGATCTTTGAAAGGGAGACTTTGTCTCAAGTCCTACACTCACCATGAATATTGAAACTATTTCATGATATTGTACGGGGTTTTTTGTTTATGTGTGATACAAATGAATTTTCTTACTAAATATTAGCTTAATAAATAAGTATAAACCTCATGTACTGTGATGGAGCTATACTCATTGAGATGATTATATCTTTAAAATTAAAATTCTACTTTTAAAGAAAAAAATTATGAATATCAAAAGGTGACTGGTTTAAATAACATTGATTCTGTTTTAAGTGAGCACATAGAGATAGAGACATTAGAGATTTTTAGCAACCTCTAGAAATGTTTACCTTAATGCCTGCCTTTTTTAATCTGTAGAATTGAATAAAAGCTTTAAAAAATAAAAGCTTTAAAAATTTGTTATGACTCCAAATAAAAGCTATACCATTGGGTGGGTACAAGAGTATTGAGCCTAGTGGTCTGTATTCTCTTAGGATTCTATTTCCTATGTCAGATCAACCTTATGTCCTAATTTTTATAGTTGACCCTTTTAAGAAGGTAATTTTAATTGTGCAAACAGTCCCTCATCAGAATATTTTTATCATCTATGTCTGAAAGTTTGAGCAGAACCCCCTAGAAATTAGGTGTGTCTTATTTTATTTTTATTCTATTTTTATTTTTATTTTTTAAGATTTTGTTTATTTATTTATTTCTCAGAGAGAGAGAGCGAGAACGCACAAGCAGGCAGAGTGACAGGCAGAGGCGGAGAGAGAAGCAGGCTCACCGCCCAGCAAGGAGCCCGATGTCGGACTCTATCCCAGGACCCTGGGATCATGACCAGAGCGGAAGGCAGTGTCCTAACCGACTGAGCCACCCGGGCGTCCCAGGTGTGTCTTATTTTAAAGGACAGAGTCCCAAAGTATTTTTTATAGAGAGATATAAATTTTATTACCTCCAGAAATGCTAAACCAGATTACAGACTTTACTTGGATTTTATCAGTCTCTCTCTCTCTTTTTTACTTTTTAAAAAATACTTTATTTTTTAGAGCAGTTTTAGGTTCACGGTAAAATTATGTAGGAAGTACAATTTCCATATACTCTTTTCTTCCATATTTGTATAGCCTTTTCCACCATCAACATCCCCCACCAGAGTGGTACAGTTGTTTTAATCAAGGAACCTACATCAACAGATCATCACTCAAAGTCCACAGTTTACATTAAGGTTTATTCGGTGTTGTGCATTTGTGGGTTTTGACAAATGAATAATGACATATATCCACCACTGTAGTATCATACCAAATAGTTTTATAGCCCCCCAAATCCACTATGCTCTGTTCATCACCCCACCCAACCTCTGGTTACCACTAATCTTTTAATTGTCTACATAGTTTTGCATTTTCTAGAACATCGTTTAGTCAGAAGCATTTAGTATATAGCCTTTTCAGATTGGCTTCCACTTAGTAATTTACGTTTAGTTTCCTCCATGGCTTCTTTTCATGGCTTCCTTTCATGGCTTGATAGCTTGTTCTTTTTTTTTTTAAGCACTGAATTATCCATTGTCTCCATAAACCGTAGTTATCCACTCCCCTGCTGAAGGACATCTTAGTTGCTTCCAAGTTTTGGCAGTTATGAATAAAACTGCTATAAACATGTGTGTAGATTTTTGTGTGGACAAAAGTTTTCAGGTCACTTGGGTGAATACCAAGGAGTACAATTGCTGGATTGCTTGATAAGAGGGGGGCACCTGGGTGGCTCAGTGGGTTAAAGCTCTGCCTTCAGCTCGGGTCATGCTTTCAGGGTCCCGGGATCGAGCCCCGCATCAGGTTCTCTGCTCAGCGGGGAGGCTGCTTCCCCCCACCCCCCGCCTGCCTCTCTGCCTATTTGTGGTCTCTCTCTCTCTGTGTCAAATAAATAAATAAAATCTTTTTTAAAAAAAAAAAAGAGTGTGTTTAGGTTTTTAAGAAATTTCATAATTGTCTCCCAAAATGGTTGTATCATTTTGCTGTTTTACTAGTAACGAATGTGAGTTCCTGTTGCCTCACAACCTTGCCAGTACTTGATATTGTCAGTGGTTTGGATTTTGGCCATTCTAATAGGTATATTGTATCTCATTTTAATTTGCAGTTTCCTAATGACACGATATTAACCATCTTTTTAAATGTTTATTTGCCATCTGTATATCTTTGGTGAGGTGTCTTTTTCTTTGGCCCATTTTTAATTAGGTTCATTTCCATATTGAGTTTTAAGAGTTCTTTGTATACTTCAGATAATAGTCCTTCATTTTTAAATTTTTTTATTAACATATAAGGTATTATTTGTTCCAAGGATATAGGTCTTACACAATTCACAGCGCTCACCATAACACATACTCTCCCCAATGTCCATCCCCCAGCCACCCCATACCTCCCAACCCCCTCCACTCCAGCAACTCTCAGGTTCAGATAATAGTCCTTCATCAAATGTGACATTTGGAAATGTTTTCTCTCAGTCCATTGTTTATCTTACTCTCTTGACATTGTTTTTCACAGAACAGACATTTTTAATTTTAATGAAGTCCAGCTTATTAATTATTTCTCCTATGTATTTTATCTTATGTCGTTTCTTTTTTTGTTGTTTTGGGGGCGTTTTTTGGTCCTGTATCTTGTGTTGTTTCTAAAAAGTCATATCCGTACCCAAGGTCATCTAGGGTTTCTCCTGTGTTACCTTCTAATAGTTTTAGAACTATATTTTACATTTAGGTCTCTGATTCATTTTGGGTTAATTTTTGTGAAGGGCGTAGAGTCAACATCTACATTTCTTTTTTTGTTTCTGGATGTCCAGTTGTTCCAGCACCATTTGTTGGAAAGATAATCTTCGCTTCACCGTATTGCCTTTGCTCCTTTGTTGAAGATCAGTTGACTATGTATACATTGATCTGTTTGTCTATCCTTTTGCCATACTGTCTTGATTAGCTTTATATTAAGTCCTGAAATTGGGTAATTTTGTGTTTCCTAGAGGCCTGAGCTACTTAGGTTTAGTAATACTTTGGAGACTTTTTAAGGCTATATCCTAATAAAGTTTTTTTTTATTTTAAGTATATATTTGTACAACGAAGACTTTTCTCATCTTCAGTTAGTTGAATTAATTTTTTTCCTGATCCTGTGTAGTTCCTTACAATGTTGCCATTAATTATAAAGCGTATTAGTACTGAGATTAGTAATGCCAAATCCAGTCTTCCCCTGTAAGAACTTTTTAGTTAATAACTTTTTGCCATAATATGTCTTGGAAAGTTATATCACTTTACATGCAATCACCCTTTTTGCTCTCTTGGTACAAAGACTTTCTCTACACCAAAATACCCTAAACAAGTATGCCATACAAGTCAATACTTAAGCGTTACCATCTCAGACAAAAACATACTAAATTTACTTAACACTTTCTGTACAGAGGTTATCATTTTGAAAACATGAATTATGCATCAGGCTATTTTGCGTTGCATAGGTTATGTCAAATGAGAGGAATGAAGAGGTTGCATCTTCCAGGACTCTAGTCTGTTATGTGCAGATGACATGTCTATGTGTTTTGAAGTTCCCTAGAGGTTTTTGTTGTTGCTGTCATGTTATAAGTTAGTTTTAAGTGCAGTTTGAATTATTAGTCCCCAAAGGGTGAAAAATTGGTGGGGATACATGGTACAGAAAGAAGAATTTATCTCCCAAATAATGATTTCTTTATTCCTCTCCTCCACTAAGCACCACTCACTATCAAATTTTCCATCTTGGCAAGTATAATAAACATTTTTTACAACATATTTTACATGCAGTCCATATTGTTTATTGCTTATAAACTTGTTCTTACTCAGTTGATGCTTTTTTGGTACCTTGGTATAGAATATCATGTAATCTTGGAATATAAAATAATATATCCTATTAAAACTAATGGGAAAAGTTTTCATTTAAAACTTTTTACTTAGTGGGGCACCTGGGTGGCTCAGCAGTTAAGCCGTCTGTCTTTGGCTCGTTTTATGATCCCAGGGTTCTGGGATCGAGCCCCACGGGGAGCCTGCTTCTCCTTCTCCCTCTGACTGCGGCCCTCCTGCTTGTACTCTCTTTGTCAAATAAATAAATAAAATCTTAAAAAAAAAAGTAAAACTTTTTACTTAATGCTTTCAGGAATAAAGACTGTAAGTGAGGGATAGGTATGTAATTTGAATTTGAATAAGTTTCACCTACTTCCACCATTTTTTAGATTATTGTAGCTGCAGCTCTATAATTGTATGTTTATTGACTTATATAATTTTCTTCTTCTTTTTTTTTTAAGATTTTATTTATTTATTTGACAGAGATCACAAGTAGGCAGAGAGGCAGCAGAGAGAGAGAGGAGGAAGCAGGCTCTCCTTTGAGCGGAGAGCCCGATCCCAGGACACTGGGATCATGACCTGAGCTGAAGGCAGAGACTTTAACCCACTGAGCCACCCAGGCGCCCCCTCCCCTTTTTTTAAGATTTTATTTATTTATTTGTCAGGGAGAGAGCACAAGCAGGCAGAGTGGCAGGCAGAGGCAGAGAGAGAAGCAGGCTCCCTGCTGGACAAGGAGCCTGATGTGGGACTCGATACCAGGACCCTGGGATTATGACCTGAGCTGAAGGCAGCAGCTTAACCAACTGAGCCACCCAGGCGTCCCTTTTCTTTTTTTTTCTTTTCTTTCTTTTTTTTTTTTTTTTTAAGTGGGCTCCACACCCAGTGTTGGAACCCAGTGTGGGGCTTGAAATTCATGACACTGAGATCAAGACCTGAGCTGAGATCAAGAGTTGGACACTTAACCGACTGAGCCACTCAGGTCCCCAGAGTTATAAATTCTTACTATGATATTGCTGTTCTCAGAATATATCAATGAAGATGTGGATTTGGTTCAGGGGTTTCACAAAAAATTAACACCTAAGTTCTGCCTCGGCAGATTTTAAATTGATAAATATTGAAGTGTGTGCATGTTTTTTTTTTTTCAATTTTTAAGAATTAAGACCATCTTCAAGGAATTTTCTTAGCAATATGGCTATCTTTTGACTTTATTTAATATTAGTTCTATGCCTAGTATATGAAAAATACTATACCAATCAGTATCCATTGCACTAGAATAAAAGGTGACAATTAGAAGTCAAACTAGGAAACTGTACTTGGGGTTTCGGTTTAGTTTT